TCTGTTTTGTAAGGAATGAATTTTCTGCTCTCAAAAGCATAGATAGATAGATAGATAGATAGATAGATAGATAGATAGATAGATAATAGATAGAACAGGGAGAAAAAATAAAATTAAAATAGGGAATAATTTTTTTTGTACAAACAAGGCAAAAATAGAGATAAGAATGAGGGGTGGTAGGTGTTGGGAAAGGGAGTGGCAGAGAACCACAAGCTAAATTAGTCACCAAGTGTTTACATTTTAAAAGTAAACCTGAATACTGCAATGTGTAAATTGACTAAAAACCACCTAATCTTCAGGCTATAATTATAGTGGGGTCCAGTTTTAGACTCTATGACTTAGAAAATTAAGAATAGAGTCACCATATGATCCTATAATCCCTCCTCTGGGTTTCCAACCAAAAAATTTGAAAACATTTCTTTGCAAAGATATATGCTCCCCTATGTTCATTGCAGCATTATTCACGGTGGCCAAGACATGGAGACAACTGAAGTGTCCTTCAACAGATGATTGGATAAGGAAGATGTGGTGCACATATACAATGGAATAAGAAAAGATGAAATACTGCCATTTGCGACAACATGGATAGGCATCGAGAATAGTGTGCTAAGTGACATAAGTCAGGCATAAAAAGCTGAGAACCATATGATTTCATTCATATGTTGGATATGAAACTGAAACTCACACACAGACAACCATATAGTGGTGACCAGAGGGAAGGGGTCAGGGGAGTAGTTAAGAGTTATGGAGGCCAAATATATGGTGACGGAAGATGACTTGACTTTGTGGGTGATGGGCACACAATGCAATATACACAGCATGTATCATAGAAATGTACACTTGAAACCTCTATAATCTTATTAACCAGTGTCACCCCAATACATTTCATAAAAAGGTGTATAAACATGAAGTATGAGGTCCTTGGAGAGACGTCAGAATAAAGATTAATGGGTTAAAAATGAGCCAAGTGAGGATAAATGAGGACCGTTACTGTGTCTGAGAAGAGACCAGAGGTGGCTCAACAGTCCCAAAGGGTACAAAGCACTCTCCATTTCGGTGAGAAGGCTACATTTCCACAGCAGAAAGTCATTTTACGTAATTACCATACAACTTTGTAGAAGTGTTTCACCCAGGAGATCTCACCAAACAAAAACTCCACAGAAGCCCAAATGGTGTCCACCTGTCCCACCCTTTACTAGCCCAAGTCCTCATCTCAAAGAAAGGGTCAAGTCTGGCCAATGTGGCTCAGTCGGATGAGCATCATCCCATGCACCAGGAGATCACCGGTTCGGTTCCCGGTCAGGGCACATGCCCAGGCTATGGGCTCAATCCCTGGTGGGGGTGTGTGCAGGAGGCAACCAATGTTTCTATCTTTCCCTCTCCCTTCCTCCCTCTGAAATAAAAAACATATTGATAAAAATTTAAAAAGAATGGGTCAAAGTGTAGAGAAGGCAACTTTGTTAGCCTGTCTCCCAGGTCCCATTGTAAGGTTGGGTGCTTCTGTGCTATGGGTAAAGGGAATTAATTAGTATAGACACCTAGATGCCTGCATAAACTTGAATTCCTTATAAAAGTATGCTTTTGCTCTAGCCAGTTTGGCTCAGGGGTTAGAGCATGGGCCCACCGACTGAAGCGTCACGGGTTCAATTCCTGGTCCGGGTCGGGGTTGTGCAGGAGGCAACCAATCAGTGTGTCTCTCTCACATTGATGTTTCTCCCTCTCTCCCTCCCTCCCTTCCACTCTATCTAAAAATCAGTGGAAAATGTCCTCAGGCAAGGGTTAAGAACAAAAACACAAAACAAAACAAACAAAAAAAGTATGCTTTTCAGTGTTGCTGGGTAATAAGACTTTGATGTGGGATTGTTTCAGAATCCCATTAGTGCTAAAATGGCCAATTTGACTCTAAAGAAAGGGAATTTATCTGACTTGATATTAAAAAAAAAAAAAGACTGGAGAACTAACTAGATGTGCCTAGACCTCTTTTTTTTTTTAAATTCATTGATTTGAGAGAGAGAAAGAAACATCAATTTGTTGTTCCACTTATTTATGCATTCATTGGTTGATTCTTGTACATGCCCCAACCAGTGATGGAACCCGCAACCTTGGTGTGTCGGGACAAAGCTCTAACCAAATGACCTATCCATCCAGTCTGGACCTCTTATTTTGTCTCTAGCATTTTCTGGTCTTGTATAGACATCTCCTGAACTAAAGTATAAGTAATAAGGTCTGTGAAGAAAGAGAATGTAGTCATGTTTTAGTTGTACTGTGACCAACTTACTCCACCTCCAGCCCAGCTTTTAGCATAAAGCTGGACACGGAGGGACTATTAATTGGTACCTGTTAAATGAATCCCACCTGCTCAACATTTTGTTAATATTTCATTTATACCTGCCTTTTCTAGTTATTCTAATTCATTCTCTGCCAACTATGAAGGGTGCCTCTCTCCATCGCTCCTTTCTCTTGTCACAGAAACATCTGTTCTTCCTATCCCCTCACACCTCTTTAGTTACCTAATTCCTGGACTACCAAAACCCCTCCCTCCATCGACCCCACTCCTCAACTTCACCTAAGTACCACTGTCACCTCCATTCATAATGTTTTGACCACACCACTTTCTTTTGTTTTGTTTTTTAAATCCTCATCCAAGGATATTTTTCCATTTATCTTCAGAGTGGGAAGGGGGGAGACAGAGAGATCGATGTGAGAGGGACACATAGACTGGTTGCCTCTCGCATGGGCCCAAGATTGGGGACTGAACTGCAACCAAGGTATGTGCCCTTGACTGGAATTGAACCTATGACTCTTTGGTCTGCAGGCCGATGCTCTAACTGCTGAGCCAAACTGGCCAGGGCCACCACACCACTTTCTATACCTTCTTTCCATTTTCAACTAGGATTAAAACTATCTTTGACTTCCCAAATGACAAGACTCCCACCTCCTAGCACTGCGAAACCTTTCCCCCAAACCCACTTTGTGTAGAAAGCCATTTCAGAACACACTGGTCAGATGAAAATATCTACCCATCAACAGTTCACACCTTTCTGCCTGCATCAAATCTGTTTCAAAGAAAAAAGTCAGATTGAGGTAAAAGGCCTATTAAAGAAAAACGATTTGTAGGTGGTGTTTGTGGGTGTCTTGGAGGATAAAACAAATGCACGTGTGTTTATATCACATATAGCACATGAACATGTATGCATATATATACATACACAAACACTAAATATATTCTGTCCAAATTAACACAAGCCCACAAGCTTAAGAAGCAAATCTGCTAAATCTGACACAAACCATAGGTGCTGAGCCCTATGGCTACTCCCTACAGATGCCCTCATTACCTCTGTGACAGTCAACTGCAAGGATAGGTAAATATCACTATAGGCAGCTAGAATTCTGTTTTTTTATGTAAATGCAAAACTTCTTGCCTCAGGAAATTAATCATGTTGTATGATTTCTGCCCAATACCCAGAATAGCCTAGACAATTAAAAACAACAACTGGACAACAGAGGCTTGCTTCACAGTGGTTTAATATGAACAGAGTTGAATATGACACTGTCTGCCAGAAGAATGAACAGTCTGCTGAATAAAAGCCCCGAGTCAGGATATATACACAGCAGAAATGAGGCCCCAGGCTCTCAGCACTTGTGCACAATGAAAGAAGGAATCTTTTAAAAAATCAATATCGGAGCGTACAAATCAAAAGGCAGCAACAACACCAACAGTGGAGGGTGGGGAAGGAGCAGAGCCTCTCTGTAGGGGCTGCACAGCCCCTGGCACAGGCTCGGCAGCTGAGAGCTGATCCGTCACAGGCAATTTCGACATTTAGATGAATTCCAACTCCTATGTCAACATCCAATCCTACTCTCTCTGATCCGAATCTTGTCATGTCAGAATCAGTACTCCTTTTCCCCAAGATTCTGGACAGAGAACTGCAATCCTTCCACGATAGGGAGTCTCAGCAGAGAGCCTCCAGTTTCGACCTGACACCTGAGTTAACCTGCTCTCATCCCATCGCTTGGGATAGATATCGGGCCCCAGCCAACAAACCGCTACGTCCTGGACAGACGCCCAGAAAGTTGCTGGTCTGGAGAAGGTGTTTTGGCCTTTAAGATTTGGGAAATCCCTACCCAGCTGCTGTCCCTAGCTCAGCTTCTGGGGAGTGCAGGCAGTTCAACAACCCTGTGACCAAGCTGCGAAGGGCAGCAACAACTCTTCCCCTGAGCCCTGTTCAGCAGCTCAAAGTGCCTAGGAGACGTCAGAGAGGGTGTGGTTTGTTCATGTGCTTCTGCCCTGTGGCAGCACGAAATGGGATGGGGAAGAGAACAGAAGGAAGAGAGTGGTGATACTCCTCCTTACCACCGGGAGTCACCTAGAAAATGATCACCCCCACTTCAGGGAGTTACCTGACAGTGGTGAGTCGCCCCCACCCCCCGCCACCAAGCCTGCAAAGCTGACCCAGAAAGGAGCAGAGCCGGGAAGGGAGAGCTGCTGGCCCATACTGACTCGCCTGCTGGTGGGCAAGAGCAGGCAGCCAGAGTGGGGAGCCACGAAAGAGAGGGGCTAGGCGACAGGAGCTCCCCTACTGCTCTATGGCTTTCTTCGGCCTCTGAAGCAGCCAGGATGATGGGCCCAGAAAACCCACACCTTGCTCCACACAGCAAACTGCTTGGATTCTAGGAGGATGACGGCCATGGAAAGCAACAAGGGGGGAGAAGGGAACAGAAGAAACGGGGGAACTGGGAGCAGGCCTGCAGGAAACAAGGACAGCTTTCGGGTCTCTCCCGCCTTCCCGAAAAGGAAAAGATTCATGCAGGTAGGAAGGCAGGCTTTCCCTGCTCAGCATTTCTGGTTAAACCTACGAGTAAGAAATATCCCCTGGACTTGCAGCATCGGGATGTCGCCAAGTGCCTCACCAGCAGGAGACCCCCGCCCCCCAGATAGCCTTCTGGGTAAATGCCCGAGAAACTGCCTTCTAGTCCAACCCCCACCCCCCACCCCCAAGCAAAGGGCATCCGCCTGTGATTTCCCACCTCTCCTCAGAGAAGAGGTCCCTAGCAGAGTGCCCACGGTGTAGTCAGGTACCAAGGGACACAATGCCAGACAGTCTACCAGGCCAGGGGATGGGCAGCCAACTTCAGATCAAAGAAAGAGAGAGAGGCTTTAGTGTAAAATCAATGTCATCTCAGCAGGAAAGGAGAGGGAAGTGGCGAGAGGGTGCCTACTGGCGCACCTTCCCGGGGACGTAGTTCCTGTCGATGGCCTCCTCCTGCAGGAACATGTGGAGGCAGCGTTCATTCTGAGCCAGCGGGTGCCCTGCGATTCTACAAAGAGATGAACAGAGTTATCAGCGGTGTTTGCGATCCGAGAGGATTTGCAGAGGAAGGGGGGTGGACAGGGGAGGAAGGACAAGGTCAGCTAGCCCTGAGGTTCCAGCAAGCGGTGGGGCGCCACTTCCACCCTAATATGGGGAGGGGGAGAGGGGGACGGTGGGGGAATCCCTGGACACAGCCAACACGCAGTGCTTTCTCAGGCCTTGAGGTACGGGATCAGAAATCTGCTCAAGGGAATGGAGTTTTACTGCCCAGTCACCCCACCGCACAACGGGCACCACATCACATGACCATTACAAAAGAGGAGACAGACTAACCACACAGAAAGACCAAGACGGGAAAGTAGCAAGAGGAGCCCCCAGGAACGGGACTTACTTGTTAATAAACTGTTCGAGGCCCTGCCTCCTTTCTTCGATGAAGGACTCCTCGAAGATGCCTTCATCTCCTCGAAAGGGGAGCTGCCGCTTCAGGGCTTTCCCCGGCAGTGGTGGTACTACGATCTGCAGGGATACAAGACAGCGCCTCAGGGAGAACTCACACAGGAGCGGGGTGCTAAGGCACTTGTACCTCACTTCCTAAAGCCTAGGTCCGCCCTATCCCACAGCCAGCAACTTGCAAGAGCTGACCGATGGCTCAGGTCCAAAATTAATCCAACTGTTTTGGTGGGAGGACAGGGTTACCGTCTCAAAAGAAAGGGAATAAACTCCAGATAACAATCCACTGTCATCTAAGAACCGAGCAAGGCCCTTCCTGCCCATAGACTTTCCATTTTTAGCACCCATAGGAGTTAAGGTGTATGACTTTACTAGTCACTAAGTGAAGTCATACTTTCTCTTTAAGATTAGTCCTGAACTTCGCCACTTCCAAGTTTCAAAGGTTATCACCCAGATCCAATATATTGGGATTGGTAGACAGAGCATGCTCACCCTCTCCATTGCCTTCAAGATTGTATGGACTCTGATCTTACGCCCTAGCAGCCTACGTAGATCTTGTTCTCCAAGGGTGCCACACGGGGAATGGAGCCATACCTTACTATCTCGCTCCAGCTCATTTTTTAGCCACTCAAAGTCACTGTAGCGCCGCCGTACACAGGACTCCTTCAGCTTGAAGATAGGGAGGTTTGTCTAAAGGGAAGGAAGAATGAGACAAGAGAGATGGTAAGTAATGTTCAGCCTGTGGTGTCCACCTGTCAGAACCACATGGACAGGTCCCAATGAGGAAATAGCTCCTATGGACCATGCTCCTATAACCCTTGCAAAACACCACCTGACAAATACCAATCCTTACCACATCCAGCCTTGTCACGTTTTGTGATTAGAAGTCCCTTGGTGCTTAGAATTTTTCCTACAATAGACTTGAAGTAACATGTAAATATGCATGTACAAGGGTTGCACTGCATTTTATTATTTGTGATAATAATAAATGTTCATCAATAGGTCACTGGTTAAATAAAATACTGTGCCTATACAGTGAAGTACTATATAACTATGAAAAGAATGTGAAAGACTGTCCCAGTATGGAAAGATCTTAAACATTAAAACCAAGGTACAGAACAGTAATAAGAACTTACTTCTATCTATGTTTTAGAAGGGATTTGTATAAAAATTAATTCAAAATGAATCAAAGACCTAAAATATAAGATCTGAAACAATAAATTACATAGATGGAAACATAGGTACTAATCTTATGGACCTTAGTCGTAGAAAAGATTTTATGAATTTGACCCCAAAGGCAAGGGAAGTAAAGGTAAAACTAAATGAATGGGACTATATCAAACTAAAAAGCTTCTGCACAGCAAAAGAAACTGCCAACAAAACAAAAAGACAACCAACAAAATGAGAGAAGATATTTGAAAACAACAGATCTGACAAAGGGCTAATATCCAAAATATATAAAGAACTCATACAACTCAACACCAAACAAATAATCCAATTAAAAACGGGCAGAGGACCTGAACAGACACTTCTCCCAAGAAAACATACAAGTAGCCATCAGATATATGAAAAGATGTTCAACTTCACTAGCTATTATGGAAATGCAAATCAAAACTACAATGAGATAGCCCCTCACACCTGTTATCAACATGACTAGTAATTACAGTGTTGCAGAGGTTGTGGAGAAATAGGAATCTTCATTCCCTGCTGGTGGGAATGTAGACTGGTACAGCCACTATGGAAAACAGTATGGAGGTTCCTCATAAAATTAAGAATAGAGTTACCATATCACCCAGCAATCCGTCTTCTGGGTATCTACCCAAAAAAACTTGACAAGATATACACATGCCTATGTTCACTGCAGCATTATTCACAGTGGCCCAGACATGGAGACAACCAAAGTGCCCTGCAACAGAGGACTGGATGAAGAGGACGTGGTACATGTACACAATGGAATACTACTCAGCCATAAGAAAAGATGAAATACTGCCATTTGCAACAACATGGATGAACCTTGAGAACATTACACTAAGCAAAGTAAGTCGGGCAGAAAAAGCTAAGAACCATATAATTTCACTCATATGTGGGATATAAAACTGAAACTCAGAGACACAGACAGATAACAGTATGGTGATCACCAGAGGGAAGGGGGTCAGGGGCAGAGTAAGGGGTTAGGGAAGCCAAATATATGGTGACGGAAGATGATTTCACTTTTTGGGTGGTGGGTACAGAATGCAATATACAGATCCTATATCAAAGAAATCCATATGATCTTATTAACCAATGTCACCTCAATAAATTTAATTAAAAAATAAGAAAAAGTGAATATATTTGTGTATATATTCATCTTTATGAATAAAATATTTATGAATAGATACTGCTAATAGTGAGTGACTTTGGAGAACAAGATTAGACAACTGGAATGGGTGGCTCACATTTTTCATTGTACATTTTGAATTTATTAAGTACAGGTAATACATTTTCAATTGAAAAGTGAACTTAAATTCCCTGTAAGGATCATGAGATAAACACCTCCAAGGTATGCCTTCCTCTGCTTTTCCTGTCCAAATCCTCTCCATTCTACAAATCCCAGCTCAAGTCCCACTTCATTTGGGAAATCTTCCCTGTCAATACCAGCCTAATTTATTGGTCTCCCTTTTCCTCTGAACCCCTATGACAATTATACTTTAGTGTTGCCTGACACACTACTGTTTCATGTATTGTGTTTGTCTTGCCACCTATTTCACTGAAATCATGAGCCATGACTATTTCTGCATCCTCTTAAATGCACACTATGCAAGTTACTCGATAAATATTCAATTACTAGAGGCCCTATTTATCTATTTACCTTCTCCTCATCTAGGAAGTGCAACAGAAATAGCAACCACATTAAGTTGGCTAAGTGAAGCTTGCTCCCTGATAGAAATCAGTGTATTTTCACATTGTAATCATTGAGAATTTTCCTAAGACTCTAATGGCAACATGAATCCCCAACAAACAAAAAGTCTTGATCCTCACTCTTGTCTACAAGTTCCAAATAGAAATGGCTGACCATATGCATTAATGCTGACTGTATTTCCTACCAGTCAATTCACATCAGCAGATGGAAATAAAAGGAACTAGTTTCTCTTTCTGCACAACTTCCCAAGGTCAGAAGTAGAGCATCCTGGAGCTATGCTAGAGCTTCACAGTCCTCACAACATCACGTGTTGTAATCCTCAGGTCTGGAAATTATCTTCGCAGAATCCAGGATTAGGGATAAGTCATCAAAAGCCAAATAACTAGCTGGTTTACATAAGTTACCAGTCTACCCAGGATTGAGGTCTAAGGCGTGAATGTCAATGAGTTGAAATGAAGTGAGATACATGTAAAGTAATATTTTATTATCTAAACTGTTCTTTAGAAGAATAAATAAGAAACTGAAAACAGTGGTTTCTTCAGAAAGAGGAACCTCTGGAGGGCAGAGGGAGGGAGGCTTAGTTTTTACAGGACATCTTTTTTATATCTTTTGATTTTTGTACCATGTGCATGTATTAACTATTCAAGATAAAGCATTAAAGAGCACATTCTCAGAATCCTGCAAGAAATATCTATGTGTATTGAATCATCACATTATAAACCTTACACTTATACAATGTTATATGTCAATTATATCTCAATGAAACTGGAGAGGGGGATAATCCTGCAAGAAAAAAGCCCTTCAGTATCATGTGATTCTAGGTTTGTGCCACAGTTCATTACAAATACTGTGCTCCCTCAACAGGGCAACCTTTACTAGTAGGCTTTTACAGAAGTCAACAGAAGGACCAAAGAAAAGGAAAAAAGGCCGAGTAGATTCTTCCCAGATAACGAATCCACCCATTGCCATTTTGTAAACTTCCTCCTTTGACTCACAAAAATGCTCTTCTTTCCCTACCCCACAGGGTGGTGACAATAATGGCCTTTCATCTTAGTACCTAGCCATTTAAGGAAGGGGCTACTAGGTTCTAGGATTGTCTCCCAGCTCTAACCTACAAATCATATGAGGAAGACAGGACTGTGTAGTACAGGGTAGTGTAGTACAGGGTAGGGAGTGTCCTTTGACTCTGATCAACACAAAGTCAACGGAAAGGAGAGAAGAAGCAAAGTTCAGGTCCACAGGACAAATTTCCATACACATCATGTCAAGTCACCAGGTCATCTCTCCAGACTCCTAATTTCTTTGGGGGATGGGAGGGAGGGAGAGAATTCTTTCCTGAGCAAAATGAAAGAGAACAGCTTCAGAAAGATTCAGCTATTATACAAAGAAAAGAAGTCAGTGGTATCTGCTTCTACCACTCACCATGCCTAACTCCCAAAGCCCACTCTCTGAATCTCATGCTCCCTATAACGCCTGCCACAATCAATCATTTAAAATAGCAATTTAAAACCAAATGATTTTTACCAATTTTTCCCCAAAACAGAATTCAACAAAAGTATTAAAAGCCTTTATAGCTATACATGTTAACATAAACAATGCAAATTAACTCAAACCCACAGAGCTATGAATTGCCACCAACCCTATTATCGCCATACAATTAGAAATTGTAGAAAGGGCTGATGAAGAGCCTAGTGGGAAGAAAAACTCTGCACATTAAAGTTTTGCAACTAAGCACTGCCAAAGAGACTACAATGTAGTGGAAAGAGTATGATGGGCTTTGGAGTGAGACAGACCTGGGTTCTATCCCAGCCCTGCGACTTATTAGCTACGTGTACTTGGGTAAGTCACTTAAGCTGCATTCCTCCTCGGTTTCTTATGTGTAAAATGATGTTTTTGCAAAGGTTTGGAAGCTAAAACCTAATTCAGTGCCTGGCACACAGTAGGCACTAGAATGCCTGAAGTAGAGAGCTGTTTCATTCATACTCCCTAAGCTTCTTGGGTAACGTATCAAGACAATGTCTCCAAAACTGCACAGCCGGGAGTCCTTATAGTAAACAAGTTATTCGCAGGCTTCCTAGCTTTTATCATACTTTGAGGGCTCTAACTTCCATTCTTCCCCAAAAAGGTGATTTCAAAGAGTTCTCATATGGACGAGTGTTCTCATTTTTTGCTATTCGCTTTTCTTTCTTCAGTTTGGACTTGGCCAAACTTGGAATTTGGAGATCATCATTTTTCAACGAGATTTCAATGCCCAGGCAGGAGAGCGCGTACTCTCATTCAATTCACTCATTCAAAAATGAAAGCACATACACTCTTTTAGGTCTTCAAATGCTGTTTGGGCAGCATGCTGTCCACAGAGAATATTCTGGCCCTCTAGTCTGAGAAGAAAACATAAGGAGAATTAGAAGACGGTTCTCAAACTTTTTTGCCTGTAACCACTTTGCGGGCAAAGAGCCTGCGAACCACGTGCTCTACCTGCACATTCCATCCTTGCATTGTGGACTAAGAGCTAGAGAATAAAGTACACTGGAAGAACCCAATCCTGGGGCAGTTCTGAAATGTCATAAATTAAAGGAACTACAGACCAGGGTCTGAATCCAAAGGTTAATCTAGGACAGAAAGGGCAGATGGCCATTTATACACCAAACACCCATCTCAAAGTCAATACGTGTTGAAATGAACCTTCTGTGTACTTCAAATGTAAAGGATCAGCACAGCAGGAGAGCAGCGACTGACAATCCACCAATCCCAGTGCAAGGCCCGGTTCACACTGAAACACAGCATGTGGTACCTGAGCAAACTTCAGCCCCAAAGACTTCTCTCTTTCAGATCCTAATTCTGCACAAGTCTGGGAAGCACTCCTCCTCCAGGTAGACTCTCTTTATTATTCCTGCTCCACCAAGCCCACTGTCTCCCTTTCCTGGGATCACATCTCCCCTTTAACCCAGGCTTTAACTTCATCGCCCCAGGAAGACCTCGTGAGGGAGAAGACGGGCCTTCCTGCCCCCACTTCAGACTAACTTCCCACAACCTAGTGTAGTGAGGGGTCCCAGTGACACCTTGCCTTGGCTTGCCATCCCCCAGCCCTTCAACACTTCCTTTCCTCCGTTGCCACAGTCACGATTCCTGGTTCCTTGAACTGCTCAGTCCAGCTTCTCCATCCTCCCCACCCTGGCTGACCAGCCTCCACTGCTGGCTCCTGGGTACTCGGTTATCCGTCACCCCGATCTGATGGCCCCTCAGGAGTTTCCTGTAACCTCGGACCCCCACCGAGTGTGCAGACGTCTCTCCAAACCTATGCAGCCCCGAGCCCCCAGATGACCCCTGCGAGCGTCTTCCCCGCCGTTAGGCGCTGGCGCAGCCGCCCCCGCCCTCCCCGCCCAGCTGCCCGGTCCTCCCCTCAGCTGTCGCCCTCACCCCGTGACTCACCCGCATGCGAACCTCATAGGTGGTGAAGCGCGCGCGGCCCACGCCCACCGTCTGCGGGTTAAAGATGTCGATCTCCAGGAAGTTACTCGGCGGCCCGTACGCGTCGGTCAGGTCCTGGGGCTTCGAGTTGAGGCGCCGAGTGTCGGCGACGGCAGTGTCCGACATCTTTCCGAAGGAGAGGCCGGGCCAGGGAAGGGGGGGCGGGGGACACAGACCGGAGGCAGGAGCGCGCGCGGCCCCTCCCGCTCGCAAAATAACCAGCCAACCCACAGGCTGCGGCGCCGCGCACGCGCGCCCACGCACGACGTCCGCACGTAGGCGCGCGCACGTCGGCCGGCCCGGGCCCGGCGCTCTGAATGCAGGCTTCGTGGGCAGCTAGGAGGCCCGAGCCCACAGGCCTCATGCAGGCTTCGGGGCGGCGGTGGTGGCCGCCCTGCGCCTGCAGCCCCAGAACGCGCCACTCTGTGGCCTGGGACCCGCCGATCGCTGCTCCTCGACCTGAAAGACGGTCTGAGACCTGGCGGGCAGCCGGCAGCGGCGGGCACTGCCCCGCGTGCTGGGATCCTGCCTCAGTCGGCGAAGCCCCGTGACCTGATTAAGTCCGGCTTCTGCGCGAAAATAGAAGGGTGGTCTCCAGAGGGTGGGGTCCCAACCCCAGTAGTGGCAGCCCAGAACGCAGCCCGCCACTCGTGCCGTGGACGGTTTCGCTTCCTGCCGCGCGCTAAGCACGCAGTGAGCACTGTCTATGGGACCAGGGCAGCAGCGAGGATGGGGTCGACAGCAACGATCTCTCATTCTCACTTTTCAGGAAAATGTGGGCATAGCTTCATCCTCCCCTGGGGCCACATAAAAGCGAATCCAGGGTGTGTTCAGATACGTTACTGAGCAAATGGAGGGCCTTCGGTTCATGCTCTATCTCTGTTCTTCAGGACTCCCTTACTCGGCACTACTCTGAGGTCACGTGCAGCCCGTAATGGAGACGGAAGATATGTGTGCATAGAATGTCTATAGAAACATGAATATTTCTTTTTTTATGTTTTATTTATTTATATTTTCTTTATTGATCTTTAAAGAGAGAGGAAGGGAGAGAAAGATAAAAACTTCGATGAGAGAGAACATCGATTGGTCACCTCCTGCATGCCCCCACTGGGGATTTGGCCCACAACCTGGGCATGTGCCCTGACTGGGAATGGAACTGGCGACCTCTTGGTGCATGGGTCAAACACTGAGCCACACTGGCCGGGCGAAACATGAATATTTCTATGACTAATTTACACAGGGCCCACAGGAAGGAGTAGTGCCCCACATTCAGGGTGGTGATTTCAGGTCATCCTTTTTCCCTCCCTGCACTGATGGCTGAAATTTTTTCAACAGAGCACAAGGCCCTATGATTTCACAATTAAGGTAGTTAATTTGATTTAATCGATAATCTAAGCAGCTACTATGCGTGAGTCACCGCGCTAAACACTAACAGCTGAATAAGAGCATCACTGCCCTCAAAGGGTTAACATTCTAGAAAGGGAGACACTAAATAAATCTAATCTAACATAATATGACAGATATAAAATAAGTGAATGCTCACAGCAGCACATAGGACACGAATAATTGGAGGAATTAGGGAAGGCTTCCAGGAGGAGGAAACATGTGAGTTTGACACACATGAAAACACATAAAGGACAAATAGGAGTGGGAATGGGGAAAGGTAATTTTCTGCAGAGGGAGTGACATGTAAAATCATCCGATACGCTGCAGAATGATATTTTTAAGCAATTATGGTCAATTTAGAGGGTGTAATGGAAATTCTCAGACAGGTAGGCTGGCTGAGATGGCAGATGAGGGTAAGCCTTCTGCATTAAGCAAAGTATCTCTGGCTTTATGATGTACGCAATGGGGATCCACGGAAGTGTCTTCACAGGAAAGACACGATCAGATTTGTGTTTCACAAGGGTTATTTCGCAGGCAACATGGGAGATATATTTGAATCAAATATGACTAATTATGAGAGTATCACCACTAACACTTGGATTAGGTGGTGACGGTGGGGATGGAGAAAAAGGAAGAGATAGCACTGAGATGGGAGAAATTAAATAGATAGGACTTGTATCTGATTAGATATACTATAGGGCTTAAGCATGTGAGCTGTGGACTTAGGCTACGTGCGTGGGTTTAAAGCTCAGCTGTGTAGCATTGAGCAACTTAATCCAAGCAGTTTTCCTCCTCTGTAAAAGTGGAAGTGATAAGAATAAAAGCAACCTCTGAAGCTTTTATGAGAATTCAATAAAATAAAATATTTGCAAACAGTAAGGGTTCGAGAACTGTTAGCTATTACTACTATTTGAGGGGAGAGGGAGGAAATTGAAAATGACTCCTCGGTTTCTGATTTATAACTATGTGGATGCTGGCACCATCAACGAACATTGTTAATTCCAGAAAGAAAAGTAAGTTTGGGAGGGGAGACAGCTCAGTTTAGATAATCTGGGGTGTCTGTAGGACATCCAGGTGGAGATTGTCCAGCAGGCAGCTGGAAATACTGGCCTGGAGCTCAAGAGGGTGATTAGGGTTAGATAGAGATTTTGGAGTCAGCATAAGGTATTGCAAGAAAAATGTGAAGAGGCAAGCAAAAGAGATTTAAAAATTGGTGAAGGCATGCAGAGTTGATAAGAGTGTACATCTGTACAATCTTTCTGGGGGGCAAATTGGCAGGATGTACTTTTCAAATCCTTTGACCTCAAGAAACTTGTAATACTGGTTGTCTCTGGAGAGCAAAACTGGAGTCAGAGACAACAGGGAGACTTGTTTATCATTTTTTTCCTCATTTATATTGAAGTACTTTTGTATTTTAAAAATATTTTAATTTTATTTATGGAAAATTAAAGATAATCTTTTTAAAATAATATGATTATTGATTTTAGAGAGAGGGGGGAGAGAGAGATAAAAACATCGATGAGAGAGAAACATCAATGGATGAGCCTTAAACCTGGGCATGTGGCCTGACCAGGAATCCTACCACTGACTTCTTGGTGGATGGGACCATGCTCAGTCCACTGAGCCACACTGACCAGGATATTTATGAAAACTTTTGAGTCAAACATTTCACTTTCAAGAATTTATCCTGACAAAATAATCAGAGAATCACATAAAGACACCAGACTACGGATCTTGTCTTCACAAGTAGATGATTGTTCATTTTATACAATGTAATATTTTTGTAGCCATTTCTTTTTTCTGATCTGTGAATTTGTTTATAGGACAAGCCTTGCAGAGGAGTAGGGAGTTCTACGTTTTACTGACTGTGTATCTCAGTCACTTCTAGCATAAAACAGTCTCTTTTGTAAAGGGCCAAATTTGGTGTTCTCCTATGTATCTATTTCAAATAATATTCTGTGCTCAATGAAATGAAATGATGTGCGTGAAAAAAGCTGGTAAAAACATTGTAATACGATAGCATTTATATTACTGAATATAATACATATAATTTTTCAAGACTAGAAAGGTAAAAGTCAAAATGTTAGCAGTCGCCATCTCTGTGTGGTGGTGTTTCTGTTGGATTCTATTTATAATTTTTTAAACAATGAACATATATTATTTTTTAATCAGAAAAAATGAAACTATTTCCCTTTGAGAAAAAAATTGAAGGGCAGGCAGGCCCAGGAAGACAAACTTGTGAAGGAGGCCAGGAAGGAGTGGTCAGAGAGGTAGAAAGAGAAGGCAAGGAGTCGAGTGAATGAGCTGAAGGGGAGGTATGGGAAATGTTTCTGGCTGGGAGTTCAGATGGTTAAAGTGTTGCCCCCATGCACCAAGGTTGCAGGTTCGATCCTTGGTCAAGGCACATACAAGACTCAACCAATAAATGCATGAATGGGTTGAACAACAAATCAGTGTCTGTCTGTCTGTCTGTCTGTCTGTCTCTCCAATCAATAAATCAATTTTTAAGTGTTTCCAAGAGGAGCAAGTTGGTGATTAACAGCGTTTAATACAGTAGAACAGTCACATAAGAGAAGGCCTGAGCGACTCCATAGATTGAATAATTACAGTAGAACCTCGGTTCTTGAACGTAATTCCTTCCGGAAGCCTGTTGGAGAAGCGATATAGTAAAAAAACAAATCATTTTTTCCCATTAGAAATCACGTAAATTGAACTAATCTGTTCCAGGCCCCCAAATGAGTTCGTTTTCACATTTCTTACATACAACACGTCTAATATACTATTTAATATATAAACCAACGCTTCTTAATTTAGGGACCCCCCCCCCACGAGCCTTCACCGAATCCGTCAGCACTGCGTCCAGGGGCGTCTTTCAGGTCAGCAAGCGGCACCTTCGCTTTTTCACATGTCACTGCCTCCAAATTGCTGTCACCTGCTAACTGCTTTTCCTTAATCCACATCAGCAACAGTTTTTCTACCTCTTCGGTTGCCTGTGACCATTGTTTCTTCCACACCCTTAGCAACATTAGCGCTCTCGATGGCCTCTTTCGGTTTTAAAATTGTCCTAATCGTCCATTTTGCCAGCAACAAAAGCAGAAAGAAAGAAAGAAAGAAATTCACAGCACAGTTTCTTGAGATTTTAACAAGCGAGGCTTAACAGTAAACTGACTGGCATTCTCTCTTTTGTGTGTGGCCCCAGAGATGGATTTTGTCTTGCTGATGTATCAGCGCGAAAGGGTTGTGAGGTGGAGAACTGAAGTTTGGTTCAACAACCAGACAATGTTTCCGTGAACAGCTTGATCAAGAACCAAATTATTGGAGATGGGAGGCGTTGGAGCACTGAGGTTTGACTGTACCTAAATGAGAGTCATCTCAGCAGAGTGCTGGAGGTAGAACCCAGATGGTAGTGAATTAAGAACTAAATCAGCCCTGGCCTGTTTGGCTCAGTGGTTACAGCGTCGGCCTGCGGTCCAGAGAGACCCGGGTTCGGTTCCCGCTAAGAGCACGTACCTCAGTTGCAGTTTGTCCCCGGCCCTGGTTGGTCGTGTGGGTGGCAACCATTCGATGTGTCCCTTTCACGTCGATGTTTCTCTCTCTCTCTCTCTCTCTTCCTCTCTGTCCCTCCCACTCTATCTGAACAAAAAATGAAAAAATGTCCTTGGGTGAGGATAAAAAAAAAAAAAAAAAAAGTACTAAATCAGGGGGGAGAAAGTGGAAACATCCAGTAGAGACCACTCCTTTAAGAAACTTGCCTCAGGAAGGAATGCTGGAGGACAAAGCATTGTCAAAGGGTTTGTTTGTTAGTGAGGGAAGAGACTTTACTG